CTCAGGTCTTCTTATCCTAGGCCTTTTGTCCTCAACCAGTACTGCAGAGGGTTTCAGTTGCTGCTTTCAGTCTGATTGGTTGAACTTTCTTGTGAGTATCGGTCAGCTTTTTGGGAATTCTCCTGTTCTCAAGTACACTGGATACCCTATTTCTTCTCTCTTCCTCCTGCACTATTACAGATTTACACACTTCTGTTTGTATTTCTTTTTATTAAGAGCATGTATTACTTTAATAAAATTTTAAAAAGAATGTTGTTGAGCACAATGGTTGTCCCTGAGTAACAGAATTAAGAGTAATTTTCACTTTTTTTCCAAGTCTTTTTGCATTGTTGATTTACAATTGGCATCTATTGTTTATACAATGAGAAAAACAGATTATTTATTTTGAAGAACAATAACAATGTTTGTAGACACTGAAAATCCAAGGAGAAGAAAAAAACTCTAACCTGGGTTTTACTAGGTAAAAGCACATGACCACGCATCTCATTTGGATCAGATTAACTTTATGTATCAATATGTATCAGGCTGAACTTGTTGTCAGTTTTAGAATCCCAAATTTTATAAGTAAAGCAATGATTTGATGACTATATTAAATTATACTCCTAATCATGGTTTTGGCTTAAGTAAGAATGTCAGTCTACTCAAGCAACAATTAAAAACAAACAAAAACAAACTAAAAACCTTTCATGAACTATCATGCAGATTTTCAAAAGGCTTGACAACAGGATATTGTGCAAGCCAGTTAACCTTCAAGATACCCCATTTGTACTGCAGACCCCTAAATCTTAAAAGGAGACTTACCTCAAAAAGACACTGAGAAAGATGACTTTAAAATACCTCAATTGGCACCAAAAAGACTAGCAAAACCAACGAACAATTTAAAAAATATTGTTTAATCAGACTGGTAAAAGGATCTTTTAATCTCCCAAATTTATTAAAATCTTCTGTTACATCATAATTTTTCCATTTTAAGTGACCCACTCAGCTTTTAATAGCCACTCCAAAGACTATTGTCCTTTTATCAATTGACTACCTTTTCTGAACAAATGATTTTCTAAATAAATACATCTACCAGAAGCTATATTCTGAATGCCATCACCTCTTACTGTGCTAAGTCTTAATTAGTGAAATTCTCCCATCTCTTCTGAATCATTGAGTTTTCCCTCTCGACTCTGTAAGAACATGGGAGCACTTCAGCTGATATGCTCCTCCAGCTGTTTCTCTTCACAGTTAAACTCTCTCTCCTCTTCCAAGCCTCCAATCAGGTTTTTGTCCCTACTGCTCCACTGAAACTGCTTGTCAAGGTCACTCACAAGCTCATCATATCAAATCCCATCACCACTTTTCTGTCCTATTCTAACTCAATCTCTCAAAAACAACTCAAACAATGGAGCATGCCCTCCTTCTTGAAACACTTTTCCTTGGCTACTAGGACACCAACCTTCTCCCATTTCATTCTTGTCAGTCTCAGTTTCTAGCTTCTTCCTTTTTACCAGACCTTTAAAAAATGTCACCTCACACCAAGGCTTAGCTTTACATCATCTGCTCTTTCCTAGCTAAACTTTCTCCCTAAGATATCTTAACCACTCCTGGGGCTTTCACGCTATCCATATTCAAACCCTCCCAGAGTTTACCAGTCCCTCCTCTGAGCTCCAGGTCAGTAGTCATCCCACTCACCTCAACTTAGAAATCTATTAGGCCCCTCAAACATGGCCAAAACTTTTGATTTCCCCTCCAGAACCATTCCTCTTCCTATTATCCCCACCTTGGTATATATATCCATCTAATTAATCGGGCTAAAAACCTTAATTCTCTTTCTTCACTTTTTATTTCCAATCTGTTGACGAGTCTTTTTTACTTTTTCTTCCAAACTATAGGCTACAATGGATCTAATCTGTCCTCCACAGTGATTATCACCAGCCAGATCTAAATCATCATTACTCTTGCCCATGGCAAAAGCTTCTTAACTGGTCTCCAGAATTCCATTCTGGTTCCCTACAATCTAGTCTTCAGATAATCCAGAATTTTTTCCTAAGGGTCTATCAACCATGTCACTCCTTCACTTAAAAGCTCTCCTTAGCTTTCAACTGCACTTGGGGGAAAAAAACCCCAAACTCTAACTCCTTAATATGGTTTTTAATATTAGGCCCTAAACCCTCTGGCTCCTGCCTTACCTCCCTGTGCTCATGGCCTACTCATACTTCAGCTACGAGTTCCTCCCACACCTGGCAAAGCCAAACTCGTTTTAGCTTTAGGATCTTTGCAATTGTAGTTCCTTTTGCCTGGAAGGCTTCTCGCCTAGGTCTTCATATGGCTCTCACTATCTAAGTTAGCCCAAAAGTCATCTCAGAGAATTCTTCCCTGGCCACCCTGTCCAATCTGTCTCTATCCTATTACCCTGTTTTAATGAATTGATCGAACTTATTCCTACCTGGAACTATTTATTTATTTGCTTGCCCCCCCCCCACCTTGAAATAAGCTCCATAGCTGCAGGAGCCATGATGTCCTGCTCACGACCACGCTCCCAGAAACCAGGACACATAGGCGGGGCTTTAAAAAATACTGGTTTAATCCAGTAAAACCATGTACTCTGGCAAAATGAAAACCAAACAAGAGAAAAGTAAACTCCTCCTAAATGAGGTAGGTGCAGAATAAAAGAAGAATCATGCCATGTGCAAACACACTGAGAGAGAAAAAGGAAATTTTACTCACAGACTTTCCTAGAATTCAGCTGGGTGCCCTTAGGCAAGTCATAATACCACTGCACCCCAATTCCCTCTTCTATAACATAGGGGATTTGAACAAAATGATTGCTCAGACTCCTGCCTGAGCCTTAATTCTACAGTGTGTTAATGTCTGCATTAAAAATACATGCAGCCGAGGAACCCTGGAAGAGTGACGCTACACATCACCCAGCTGGATTGGTGTTAATGAAGGCGGGAGGGAGAAGGTAATAAGGTAACCTAGAGCCTAGAAAAATCGTAGGTTTGGAAGCCCCTACCTCCTTTGTTAAATTGGCCTTAAGCCAATTGTTCAACTTCTTAGAATCTCAATTCCCTCATTTATGTAACAGGGCTAATAATTTCTGCATAATTTGGGGGTTATTGTTATAATCAAATAAAATACTATATGTGAAGGCACATACTATGTCTAAGAGCTAAGAAATGCATAGTCAGATAATTTTTAACATTAATTAGAAAATAATGATAATAGCAATAAACTATTTTGTTCTCAAACAGCTGGAAAAACTATTTAAAAAAAAATTACCCTAGGTTGAGCTGAGAGGTGGGACTAGCAATACTAGTAAAGACCAGATCTTTGTGAAAACTTGGGCAGACTTGGTTAGGACCATGTACTTGTAACTTCTCCTTATGTCCTCATATTCCCTCATGGCTTATCCTCTTAAAAGTCATTTACTGAGAATGTTGATGTGATGATAACAAGGTGAGAAAAGGCAGAGAGAAGCCTGCAGGAAGAACTATGAGCTGGCTGGCAGGGTGTCAGGTCAGAAATCCTGGTGGGTTCCCTTCCTAACTTGTGGCAAGTTACTTAAGTGACTGTAAAACCTTCTCAGCAGTGAAGCCACAACCTCCTGAAACTAAATCGGCAATATCTCCACAGCTGAAATTCCTATAGTGGAATGGAATAAGAGAAAACAAATTAAATGTTACAGGAAAAATTACTGACCCCCAGGTTTGAGGGAAAAAGAAGAAATGGGATGCCTCTGGCCATCTGACCCTTTCTCCACTCTGAAGTTTCTTCTTGCAGCACAGGAAGGAGGCCAAAGGAAAACCAAATATCCCTTAACTAAATATTTTAACACATGGGTCCTGAACAAAAATTGGTTACAGGGACCTTTAGGGATTCGGAGCAAATTCCACTTAAATAAGCTGGTTAACTAAAGGTTAATCACGTGAACACACAACGGACAAGACTAACAAGTGCCCTGGTCACAGAGAGCTACTGTTCTCTTCACTTCTGCTCTTCCCAGCCTTTGCTCACACGTGAGTTTTTCCTTATTCTCTTGAACCACTGTGCTATGTGTCTAAAATTCTTCCCCAAACCTGTATCTTTCCCCTTACAAAAACTAGCCTTGTGGTTAAACCTCACCAAAAGAAAGGCAATACGTTCTTTGTTTTTAATAGGAAATCTAATAATAAGTAAAACCAGAGTATTTATTTGTCTTAGCTCGTCGTTAATTCTATCAGAGACAACCTGAATTACTGCTGACTGCCCCTCCCAAATCTAATTCACTTTATCACCTTTCATTAGATATATCAGGATGAAAACAGGGAAAGAAACTCTAGTTGCAGTTTTTGAGTTTTGTTTTAAACTGTTAAAGAAGCACCCCATGAATCAGATGTTAGATCTGATTACTGTGATCTTCAAATCAACCTAAATAATTAAAGTCTAGGGTGAGAACAGAGAAGAAATCAGAACTGTTGATGATTTCAGTCAACTAATTACCAATTAGTTTATGAGAAAAATTCCTGACTGAAAGATAACTTTTTAATGGAATAATGTTTTTAATCACGATACCAATGTTTTTATTTTCCATTCCATTTTGTTCTAAGAAAAAATTTAATGTGGCTAATTGACCCAATATTGTAATTCAAAAAATATATTTCTAGGTACCATAATCAAAAGGAATTGTTTAGGCACAAGGAGAAATACAGACACTACGGAAACAGAAAGCCAAAAGGGAGTATGTGACAACACGAAGGGTCAATGTGAAAAGCAAAAAAAAGGGCAAAGATGCAGCAGACCACAAAGCTGTTCCCAACTGACAACTGGCACCTTCACGTTCATTGATCACTTTCACATCCTAGAGAACACGCTCCTTCTACTCAGCACTATCTGCCTGCACAGGGCCATCATCTTTGAGATAGAATTACCTCCTAGAATTTCATAATGCTATAAACTAAGAGGGGAATAAAAGGGAAACATTTATTTTTAAAATATACAATGAAGTATAGGAATCAATTCATTTTCAGACTTACCAAATGCTGGTGCACTAGAAATAGCAACTGGTTGCTGTTTCATGACAGGGGGAAGTGCGGAGGGGAGCTGATATCCTTGCAGCTTCAGTTTGATAAGTTTCATAGCTATGGAAAACTCCACTTGATCCATTCTTCCATCATTATTCATGTCAGCTAGTGCCCTGCAAACCAACAGCATGAACTCAGAACAACTGTGACCATAAAAAAACCTTTCCAAAACCACCACTCCCGCTGACACGAAAACAAAATAATTAGCTCTCTTACCCCAAGGGAGAACAACGCAAAAAAAATTTGTTTTCCAAGCTATGGGGAATAGCCTGTAAATACTGGCAAGGTCTTATTAACATAAAATATCTTTTACTCTGCTACTTTTTACTTACATGCTACCTCAGGTAATTTTCAGCCCCAGTGTGAAGATTTGTATTTTAGACACCAAAAGGCATTTCCTTTTGGAGTTGAAAATGTTCTAAAATTAGATAGTGGTGATGGTTGCACAACTCTGTCAATAAACTACAATGAATTAGACGCTTTAAACTGAGTCAACTTTATTATGGGATTTATGTCACAATAAAGCTGTTGGGGGAAAAAACAAGGATTTAGAAACAATGTCATGGCCAGAGACATTTGGTTAGATTGCATTAACTGTTCTGCAGAGTTCTACAAACCTCAACATGGCAACATGACTTGTTATGCTATGCTATGCTACCCTATGCTATGGTATACTATACAATAATGCTAGTATTCTTCTAAAACTCTTAAAACTTAACTTTTCTTTAGAATCCTGCCCTGTACCACCCAACAACTCTGTAATGAGCTTACAAATATGCTTGCTGTTTGAAAATCCTACTGAATCATACATGCTCCAAGCACAACTTATAACGAGCTTCAAGGCAAAGTATTTTCTCCCAAAGAAGAGTAAGCGAAAGGAAGAAATTTTGTCCTTGCCATTAGAAACCACATTATACAACCCAAACTGTGCATATTCATGATTTAACCTCTTCTGCATAAAAAATGTTTATTCAGATTTCATTTCTTTTTAATTCAGATATTAAAAGCATGAATATTTATTCATATATATGAAACTAATCTTATAAAACTGCATTTGAAACATCAGACTAGCTAGTTCAATTAAAATACATGACTAGCAATCTTTTAAACTGAGATGTATCCAGATAGTGTCTACAAAAGAAAATAAAGTTACATAGAAAATAATCCTATGTAGCAGGGGTTAAAGAAAGAAGACATGTAACAGAATAAAAAGCATGACATACAACAAAGATTAAAAATCTCTAAAAGTGATAAAAGTTGTATAAGCACAACTATTTTGGAAAAGAAAGAAGGATCATAAAGCAGGAAACAGAGCCCCATGGCTATGGGAACCTCCTTTCTTCCCCCGGGGTCCTCTTGCAATCATGACCCCTTCAGCAAACCATGCCAGTAGAGTCCAAATTCCCCTCCCTACTAGGGAGCTTGAACATCACTTTTCCAATGTTTCATGGTTATTTGGGTCTGTACTTCTATGAAGTGCTTACTTATATCCTTTGCCAAGTTTTCTGATGGATTGCATGTCTTTTTGTTGTCAGTGTATAAGCTCGCTATGTATAACATGTTAACTGGTTATCTGTAGAATGTTCAAAGATTTTTAAAAATTCAATATTTGTTATTTTGTGTATAATATACTAACCATACAGGAATTCCAGATTTTTTATATATAAAATATTTCTTTTTTAAGACACAGACTCTGACTCTGTTGCCCAGGCTAGAGTGCAGTGGCTCGATCACAGCACACTGTAGCCTCAAACTCCTAGGCTAAAGTGGTCCTCCTGCCTCAATCTCCTGAGTAGCTGGGACTACAGGCATGCACCATCATGCCCAGCTTATTTTTTAAAAAATTTTTTTGTAGAGATGACATCTTGCTATGTGGCCCAGACTGGTCTCAAACTCCTGGCTTCAAGCGATCCTTCCCCCTCAGCCGCCCAAAGTGCTGGGAATACAGGTATGAGTCACCATGCTTGGACCAATATTTCTTTTATTATATAGTTTGTAGGTGCTTAGTCCTTGATTTTCTAAGATTGTATTATTTTATTACATTTCAATCTTTAAACCAACTATAATTGCATGGGGGGGGGAATGTTATCCCAGGGTTCAACCATATTTCATGGATTCCTCACTTTTCTAGCAATATTTATTCCATCCTCTTCTCACTGAACTAAAAACGCATTTTTGTCATGTATTAAGTGTTCATATTAAGTGAGATCTATTTCTGCATTATCTATTCTGCCTGAACAATTCCCAGGTCCATATGACAATGATATATGATCACGCTGGCTCTCAGGGACATTCTGATATCTGGCAAGGTTTTGTTAAAACTTTTCTTGGCTATTCATGGATGTTTATTTTTTCCCTATGAATTTTAAGATCACTTTATTCTACAAACAACCATACTGGGATCCAAAAACTGTATTAGATTTAGATAATAATTTCTGGCAAACTGATATATTTGTGATGGTCTGCCCACCAAAGAAAATAGTATCTTTCCATTTGCTCAGTTCTACAAATAAATATTTCCAATAATAAAACTATCACTTTTTTGATATAAGTATGCTTTTCTTATTAAATATATTCTAAGAAATTTTATCATTTTTGCCAGAGTGTTAAATGAAACAGTCCCCTCATTTCCATTTTTAGGTGTTTATTTCAAGCATAGAGAAAAATTTTAATTTTTTAAAAATTATTTATCTTGTATTTAGCATAAATACTATAGAAGTTACAAAACTTCTGTGAATCTTAATTTTTTTAAACTAAAATCTCTTGGATTTACTAAGTATACAATCACATAACTAGCAAAAAATTAGCATTATCTTCTTTTCCAATATTTATGCCAATCCTCTTTTTCATTGGTCTTATTGCCTCTAGACATTACTGATCCCACGTAGTCTAGTAGTCGGGGAAAAAATAAATAAATAAGATACTACTGAATGCCTTTCTGCTCAGTTCTGACTTTAAATGAAGTGGATTTAGTATTTCAACGTATAGAATATTTGGTACTGATTTTTGAAAGTACTCTGACATATTTAAAAGAAGTTCCCTTTCTACTTATTAGAAATGGTTACTGTATTTTTTATCAAATGCCTAATCCACACCTGTCGATGTGATCACAGGTCGTCTTCTTTTTATCTGCTGAAATAAAGACAAATATTGATAGAGCTTCTTGACTAAGAACCAATCTTGCACCTCTGGCATAAACTCAAGTTGGAAATAATATGTTATTCTTTTTATACACTGTGGAATTCTATTTGCTAAGATTTTGTTTTGATATTTTGCATCTATATTCGTAATTGAAAATGATCTCGTTACTTTATTTTTGTACCAACTTTCAGGGTTTTGCTTTTGTTTTTGTTTTTTGAAGACAAACTCTCACTCTGTTGGCTAGGCGTTAGCCTACCTCACAGTAACCTCAAACTCCTAGGCTCAAGCGATCCTCCTGCCTCAGCCTCCCGAGTAGCTGGGACTATAGGTGTATGCCACCATACCTGGCTAATTTTTCTATTTTTAGTAGAGACGGGGTCTCGCTCTTGGTCGGGCTGGTCTCAAACTCCTAAGCTCAAGTGATCCTCCCACCTCAGCCTCCCAGAGTGCTAGGATTACAGGCATGAGCTACTGTGCCCGGTCAACTTCCAGGTTTTATAAAGGAAATTAAGCATATAAAATGAAACAATGAACTTACCTTCTCTTGCTGAGTATTTTTAAAAAGATAGTCAACTATTTCAAATGGTTTTCAGGGGAAAAAAATTCCCTGTAAACAACCTCAACAGGCATACTAAAATCAACCAATCAATCAGGCAGATTCCCACTGCCTATTCCCCACACCACTGTCCCAAAAACGTGTTTTCTAGTGAGAAATGGAAATATCAAATGTGGAATAATAAGCGGAGAGAAGGGGAGAAGAGACTTTCTAGTAAAGGTTTAGTTAGAATCTAGTGTTTCTAAAAACCTTCTTATTAAGTGTCTCCATGGGTGAGGAGAAGAAACATGTAATCATTAGGTTCTAGGGGCTTAAGTTGAAACCACTCACTACAATCCCAACATCTGGTTGAGAATTTTGTGGTTCTCAAAAAAAAAAAAAAAAAAAAACTCAATTAACAAAACAACTGTGGGGACTCCCCAGTAATAAAATTCAAAGGAATTTATGGAAATACAGTAGTTACTCCTACAAAGCTCAGCTCTCCACCCTATCCCCCAGTACAATAGAGTTCACATTTTATTTCAAAAAGCTTCTCTGCAAAAAGCTGCTTCCCCTCTGCCATCCATTTCATTTCCCAGGTATAGTTATTTCTCCAGTTTATCTGTGTCTAATGATCCCCTAAAAGACTAACTATAAATCTGACAATACTGAAATTAAACTCATTTAATTTCCAAAGTAAAAAATACACTGAAAACAATGTAAGTCCAACAATTCCTATTTATGACTCTTGAAACAAAGTCATTTTAAATACAATGTTAGCCGTTATATTAAAATCTGTACATAACTACAGGCAGGGTTGAGTTGAGAAAGGGAACAGAGGTATCAAGCTTTTTGTTCGATTTCTACAAATAAACCATTTATCTTTCTTATACACTGTTGGTTGGAAAAGTGCTGCTGACTCCAAATGAGGGAAAACTAAGTATGCATTTACTCTTGGAACTAGCAACTGCACACCTAAGAATTTACCCTGAAGACACACCTCCAATACAAAAACCCACAGGCACAAGCTCATTCATTGCTGTATTATTTGTAATTGCAAAATATTGGAAATAACTAAATACATGTACACAGGAGATTAGCTGAATAAACTATGGTATATCCTCCACAATGAATATTATGTAACTGTAAAAAGAAAATGAGAAAGATCTCTATGGAATGATATAAGTGATTTCCAGGATATGCTGTTAAATGAAAAAAAGCAAAGAACAAAAGAGCATTTATAAGAGGTTCCCTTAATTTATGGAAGAAGAAGTAATGTAAATATGAATACGCACACATTATACATTATGTTCCTGCTTTTTTCCACAAAAATAAACAAATGAAGGATAACAGGAAACTAATAAAATAGGAAGGAACAGGCATAAAGGGCTATATAAGAGAGGGAGTGAACTTGTCTGAGTACACTTTCTTGTATAG